AGTGCTGGGAATGGTTGGACTTGGTGATCTTTCTTAAAGGTCTTTTCCAACTCCGTTGATTCTATGATGCTGTGTCGGAGGGTGTGCATGTGGCATCGGATCCAGGGGGCTGTCTGTGGCTTCAGGGAGACTCCGAGGTCCACGGGCTCTGGGGGGGCACGTCCCAGGGCACTTCTGGGTTCCGCAGGGCACTGTGGAGATGACAGTGGGGCACCAGTGGTGACTGGGGGGCAATGGGAAGCTCCACCTGGCTAAGGACTGTCTGTGGGGTATGACTGGAGTGTCCATGGGGCACTGCAGGTGACAGAGGGGCTGGAACGGCTGGGGCAGTGCCCAGTGGACAGGAAGGGGATATCTGTGAGGCACCATGGTGGCCCTGAGGTGATGCGGTAGCTGGACAGGGGAGACACTGTGGGGTGTTGGTGGGGCATTGAGATGATAGAGCACTGAGATGATGGAGGGGCTGGAGTTAACACAGGGTCTGAGCTGTCAGGGGCTGGGGGGTGGCCTGTGACATCAGGGCATATCAGTGGAGCATATCCTTGATCCCAAAGGATCCGCAGGGCTGGGACTACCATGTGGGGATGACCTCGGCTCTCCACTCTGCCACGGAGCTGACTGCTGTCTCCCTTTTGTCCATAGAACACCCGAGGTTGGATGGGACCTCTGAAGATCATCTGGTCCAACCTGCCATGGGGAGGGGAGCCTGGATGAGGTTATCCCACTGCCTGTCCAGTTGCATCTTAAAGCCCTCCAAGAATGGGGATTTTACCATGTCCCTGGGGAGGTTCTTCCAGCTGGTGGTTGTTCTCGCTCTAGTATATTTCTTAGGTTGAGATTAAGCCTGTCCCAGTGCAACCCATTGCCCCTTGTCTTCTCCATGTGTCAACTTGAGAAGAGAGAACCCACTTCTTCAACCATGGTTTATATTCCATGGTGTTTCAGGCCAGGACCTGAAGGAGGGGATCAGATGCCAAACTTGACTGTTGCAGAGCTCCAAAACCAGGGGCAAGCTTCCTCCAAAATGGCACAGAAACCACCAGAGCCAAGTGCTGCTCCAATGTCTTCCCTCTTTCTGCTCTCATATTTTCCTTAACTCCCTCCCAAATAGACAAGTTTATTAGAAAACAATAAATATAAGGTTCCGTGCTTTCACCCTCGACGCTCCTCATCACGTCTGCTCATAACTTGTGCTTGTGTGTGAGCAGGATTCCTTGGGATTACTCATAGATGGGTGCTTGGAAATTTGCTGTCAGTTTTAAAAAGGAACGTTTCAGAAATATCTATTATTTCTGCTGAGGCTCAGTGCTTGCTGGTTAATGATGTGCCATTAATCTATAAACAGCTTCAGTCCTGATTTAAACTGCACGAAAGGAGTTTTTTCCTGCAAGAGCCACCAACGCTGCTCACTGGGGTAAGGGGACGTGCGTGACCAAGGGTGGCACAGTGGGGGAGTCTCTCAAGCCTGAGGTGGGGAGCAGGTTCCTCCGGGGACCTGGCCTCTCCACCCAGAGCTCAAGGGACAGGCAGTGAGGTCTGTTTAGCCACAGAAACTGAATGGAAACAGCAGGTCAACTTCCCCAAGCCCCCCCCAGACTGAGGGGCCACCTCCATTGGAGGCAACAGGAAACCTTTCCCTTCCCCATGAACTGCACAAGTTAATTCCCTCAAGGGCCAGGTGATGCTAGGTGAGAACTTGGTCCTCGAGCTCAACCTTCAGATGAAGGACTTCAGTCCTCTAGACCCAAGACTGGTGGTCTCCATCCTCTCCATGGGTTTCTCTCCCTCTGCCAAGACGGAGGACCAGCTTTAGGCCACCAGAGCAAAGAGATGCTGGCTCTAGCACATTCTAGGTCCTGGTGAAGGAGGAGGTGGGAGAAAGGAAGAGCAGGCCATTAACAGGAGCTCAGCCCTGGATCCACAGCCCTCACATGCTTCCCCAGAGTCTCACGCTTGCCACTGAGGCCTCTGGCACTTGGTTACCCCTTGTTCGTCTTGACACTTCTCTTCCACCCTCTACCATATCCGCTCCTGAACTGGCTCAAGCAATTTTTGAGGGTGAACAACTCTGCAAGGTACCCTCAAAGTCCTTTGCTGAGGACTTGGCCAATATGGTATGAACATCACGTACCTGCTCAGCTGCAAAGCCCATCTCCTCAGTTAGAGCAGCTGATCAGCTTCATTCCAGCAATGCCCCAGTTAGGCTCTCCTCCCAAAATAATGCTGCATGGCAGCTGAGCCAGATCTCCGTGAGCAAATCAACATCTTGCCAGCTGAAAGCCTAATTCGCACCCTGGTTCTGCTAACAAGCAAAATAACCCCGGTTATTCCTTTTATTTATTTATTTTACAACACACAAATACACAATGTAGTAAAAAAAAAGGACCTGACAAAAGCCTCTCAGAAGAGAAAGCCCACTACAAACATCTCAGGAGATTGTATATTGTCCCATAAGGGACAACACTTATGGTTTGTCTTCCGCTCATGTTCTGAATGCAAAGGATGGGTGCTCCCAGGTTAAGGTGAGCAAGTGTCCGGGTCTCTGCTGGTGCAGAAGAGGTGGAAGGGCAGTGGCAGCAGCAGCAGGGCTTCACTGGGGGCTTCACTGGGCAGGCACGGCCGGGCGGGCAAGCAGGGGAGCTGCCTTCTGGCTGCGCTCAGCAGACATGTGCTCCAGGCGCTCCGTATAGAACCCGTTGAAGTCCAACCTGAGAGACAAAAGCCCCAGAATTTTCAGCTCAACGTTGCCCCCAAGAAGTCAGTGCTCATGGCCATTGAGGTGATCCAAAAACACAGGGGAAGGAGATGGACTTGGGGATATTGGGTGAGGAGAAGCTCCCCATGACCTAGCTTCAATGTGCGCTTGAGCCCAGAACCCCCTGTGTGCTGGGCTGCACCCCCAGAGTGTGAGCAACAGGTCAGGGAGGGGATTCTGCTGCGCTCTGGGGAGACCCCCCCTGCAGTCCTGATCCAGCTCTGGGGAACAGCACAAGAGGGACGTGGAGCTGTTGGAGCGAGGCCAGAGGAGGCCACAGAGATGCTGCGAGGGCTGGAGCAGCTCTGCTCTGGAGCCAGGCTGAGAGAGCTGGGCTGGGGCAGCTGGAGAAGAGAAGGCTCCTGAAGGGGGGACCCCTTAGAGCAGCTCCAGTGCCTAAAGGGGCTCCAGGAAACCTGGAGAGGGGCTTTGGACAAGGGCCTGTATGGACAGGACAAGGGGAATGGCTTGAACCTGCCAGAGGGGAGATTGAGATGAGCTCTGAGGCAGAAGCTCTTCCCTGTGAGGGTGCTGAGGCGCTGGCACAGGGTGCCCAGAGAAGCTGTGGCTGCCCCATCCCTGGCAGTGTTCAAGGCCACGTTGGACACAGGGGCTTGGAGCAACCTGCTCTAGTGGAAGGTGTCCCTGCCCGTGGCAGGGGGTTGGGACTGGATGAGCTTTAAGGTCCCTTTCAACTCAAACCATCCGAGGATTCTGTGATTCTATGAAAATCTTTTATAGGTGAGATGAATTTTAGGACAAAGTTGGGTCAAATGAGGGATGTGAAGCAAAGCAAGTCTTGCTGTGGGAAGAAGCAGATGACACACCACAGCACAGACCTCTCCAGCACTTCACTCCCCCTGGCCACAGCCTTGCTCTTCTCCAACCACAGCCCCTGGAGAAGCCTCTCTCAGAGCATGAATGTGGCCAAACCACAGCGGGCTCTGGATCTGCCATCTCCAACACGGGACTGCCCCGGGCTCAGTAGACACAGTGGCTGGTCCAGAGCAAGATGGGTATGTCTGCCCTGTGCCACAGGCTGTTGTCAGTGACATCTGTTCTGTGCTCATACCTTAATAGAGGGCTAAATTTCACCTGTTCTTTACAGGTGTATAAAATACATCAGGAAGAACCAAATCCTTCTTCTCCAGAGCCGTGGCTTGACCACACAGTCCTGGAAACCTGACACTCAGTGACAAGGTGCCAGGGCTGAGGGCTCTGCACCTTCCCGACCACTGCCCTCCACTCCTTAACACCACCACTGAACTATGGTATTAATTCCCATATGAAATCCACTCTACCTACCTCAGAAAGTTGCAATTTTCATTACTACCACCACCATCACCTTGCTAACACAAGCGTCCTTCAAACAGATTCATGATTCAAGAAGATGAGTAACTGGTTGGAAGATGCTGAGCCAAAATCACAAGTATTGCTGATACCTGTAAATGCCTCTCCAAAGCAGGAGATGCACTTGACCACCCTAACTAAACCAGCAGTAGTTTGCTACACGCTCCAAAGGAGGTGAAAGCCTGAGCTGTAGCCAGGCCAAGAACTCCTCCAGGAAACCCACCAAGGGGCAGAGTGACCCAGAAAGCATCGATGCATATGAGCTTGGAGCACTGATCATCACATGGATAGCACGTGGCTTTTCCAAGGCTCATTTACTAAGGACCAAAGAAAGTTGTGGGTACAAGAAGTCTCAAGCACACCTTTCCCATTGTGTGCAAGCCAACCACTTTATTCCATAAATAAGGCAGCCTAAGTGAGCCTTCTCTGAGCTCTCCCTGCTAGGCAGCAAGGCTGCATGGCAGTGATCTCCCCTGGAGCTGAGACGCCTCTTCAGTTTGCTCTTCAAAGCAGAGAGACCTGTCATCTGCTAATGACAGATCTCTGGATGAGCCCAATTCAAGTTCTTTCTGCACTGCAGCTGGACTGCATGCCAACTAATTCTACCCTTGAGCTGGGATGCCTCTCAAGGTTTGAGATTCCTTACCTGAGACTGGGACCCTCCTTACCCAAGGCAGAGAGATGATCTGCAACAGATCCTCTGTAAGTGACTGATCACATGCTGAATTAATACTAAATGAAATCCATGTGATTAGTTCTTTTAGACATAACCCGTTGTCCAAGTCTGAGACAAAGATTGAACCTAGCCACACCTAAGCTCTATCAGGAGTTTAGAAAGCAAGGGGGGGGTCACTCTGAACCTTGTGACTCAATGAGAGGGTCTCCAGTAGTTCTACTTGTTACTCTAAATCAAGGACTTTCCAGTCTCATGCTCTGCCAGTGAGGGGAGCACAAGGAGCCAGGAGTGAGCAGAGACAGGACACTTGACCCAAAGTAGCCAAAGGGGTATTCCATACCACAGCATGTCATGCCCAGTACAGAAACTGGGGGAGAGTTAGTGGGGAGCCACTGATAGCCGCTGGGGAATGAGTTGGGCATCGATCAGTGGGTGATGAGCAATTGCACTGTGCAGCATTTGGTTTTTTCCTCAGAGAGGTGGGGTTTATTGCTTCCCCCTTCTTTTTTCGTCCCCTATTATCATCATCAACTTTTATTTCAATTATTAAACCATTTTTCTCCCAACCACAGTTTTTTATACCTTTTCAGGTGCTCCTCCCCATCCCACTGAGGGGGGCAAGGGGTGATCGAGTGGCTGCCTGGTGCTTAGTTGCCAGCTGGGCTTAAGCTGCAACAGTTTCCCTTAGTCTTTTGTGTCTTCAGTCTCTGTGTAAATACTTTTAAATCAATTCTAACTCAGTCTTCCTTTGTATGCTTCATCCACGTAGCAAGTAATAGAGTGAACCTTGTCATCCAACTTTCTTAAATCACACCCTCATAAATTCGCATCAAAACCATTTTTGCAACAGCAGCAATATCATAATCCTGTCTCCTTGATAATCTAAAATAATGCCACAAAACCACCCAGCTCCATGCCTGCTGTGACCTCTCCTAGGCACATTTCTTCACTATCAAGCCAACTAAGACATAAAGCTCTTAAATAGATGTGCCCTGGAACACTAAGCAATAGTTGATATAAGCCTGTGAATCACACAAAAGTTACTCTCTTCATTTCTCAAATTAAGTTGCTCCAATACTAAATGAATGGGTACAATATTTGAGTTTCATGTTGCTTAACAACCTCACACAAATGGCAACAAATTGTTCCTTGACATTTTTTGGTGACTGCAGAAAACAGAGACTCGACAGATGGAATTTATCTGTTGCTCTATCCTGGTTGAAAAGCTTATGTCTCTTTCATCCTTTAGGAGTTGTACAAATGAAACCTGACACTGAGGCAGGCATATTTACCAAACTTTGATTCAAATACAAGACCAGGACATCAGAGAATCAACCAGATTGAGAAAGACCTTTAAGATCATCCAGTCCAACCATTCCCAGCACTGCCAAGGCCACCACTAACCCCTGGCACTGAGGCCTCGTCTACCTGGGGTGTGAACACTTGCAGGGATGGTGACTCCAGCACTGCCCTGGGCAGCCTGTTTCAATGCCCGAGCACCCTCTGGGCAAGGAATTGTTCCTCAGCTCCAGCTAAACCTGCCCTGGTGCAGCTTGAGGCAGTTTCCTCTTGTCCCATCCCTTGCTCCTCGGGAGCAGCCCCTCATCCTTGCTTTGAGGACCTGTTCTATTTCTAAATTTGCTTTATTCCAAACTTCTTGAATTGCAGACTACGTAAATTTAGATTTGCTTCCCTTCCAGCTATATTTTTAGGGTTAAATGATCTTTGACAACTATCTCTTAAGAATCTGCATGGTGCTTCCTCAAACTCTGCTTACACTTGTTTCTTCCTTTGTGGCTGGAGCCTTATTCACTGGGGTTTGCATCACTTCATACTCAGTCATTGCCATTTCTTCCAGACTGGTAAAGGAAGGATATCTGATGAATGCTGACAGTACTTGATGGGTCAGATTTCTAAGTATTTGGAATTAAGTAATCCTTTCGACAAAGTATGACAAACAAATGCTGTAATTATTCTCTTTTCACTATTGAGTGAAGTGACTGAAGATTTCTCTGCTGTTGCCAAACCCTCTGTCAGCATTGCTAGTGATGTAGCCAAGGCAGGACTTCAGCACACAGCTCTGTGAGTTAATGTGGGAGCTTTCTTGCTTTGAAGGAAACCCTCAGGATCTCTGTCTTCTGTTGTTCGGTGCTACAAATACGATGGATTCAGTACTGTAAACTGAATAAATACTAACCAGGCCAAATAAAGAAAAGCACAGGACCAGAATTATGAATAAAAGGGATATTTTGTTATCTATCTTACATGTCGATTAACACCCCTGAAAAGCAGCCATATAAAAAGGTTATAATTTATAAGAAAACACTGGTATATCTTATAAACTGTTCCATCTCTCTATCAAATGTGTTACTTCAGATGGCAACCATCTCCACTCTGGTTCTTGGGTTCCTGTTGCCATAGAGTCCAGGACTCGATCCAGTAATCTCTACAGACTGAATGAGAGCTAAATGTCACGTCTGGGCATTCATCGTGGGACTTCTACTCTCTAAAACATTACTGAGCAGCCTGTAGAAATGGAAAGACATGTTCTGTTGCATGGCCTGTTAACAGGCAGTATTTCACTTAAGGAAATGGGGACATCTGGTTTGTCAGTAAAGGTCCATCTGTGTCCAACATCTTGATGAAAACTCACATGATCCCAGACCGGGGGTCTTGATAGTGATGACAGTCCTGATGGCATAAAGAATCTGCAGCCCTTGGATAGAACTGGGGCATGGAAATACCGGGGGGGTGCAATTAACTCAGCCCCTCTTCTGAACAGCTGGTTGCAGCTTAGGTCATCATTCTCAATGCAGACTGCTAACAGAAGCATTTTCTCAGAACCTCCCTGAATCACCAAACTTCTCCTTTCGCCTGAAGCAGGAAGTACTCATGTAAAAATCAACCTCTCCATATTTGTAAGAACTGGTTCCAGAGCTTCCACAGCTCAGGAGTCACCTCCTGCCACAGCTAACACTTGTCTGCAGGCTGTGAAGCACTCAAACATCTATGTGGTGGAGGATACCTCCAGGCCATGGCACCATGGACCCCCAGCTGCATAAGATACACAGACAGTCTCTGTGATGCAGCATCTACTCATCCTATTGTCCTGGTAGACACATAAAGTTGACACGAGAGTGTGGAGGCAATGATAAAAGAGGTGAACTTCTGATGCTAAGTGTAGGAGCAGTGCTGACAGGAGCTACTGACAGAAAAGGCCTTACATCAGTGTCTGGCATCACATATGACAAAGTGTGGTGGAAGGCTGCAGGGCTTCTGCTGCTGCATGATGTAAAGGCTGGGCAAGGACTTGATGTTGTTGTCTTCTTGAGTAAGCTGGGAACCAACTCCACCCTTGGACTCAGCCCACCAATGGAACAGTCTCCATATGTTCTTTCTTTGCAAGACTCAAGGACTATGGGGTCATGATTCTCTTCTATTAAAAGAGTGGGTGACTTGGTCTTCAACACTGTGTTGGCCATGCCCTGCACGACCTGTAGTGATGTCCAAGTGGCTGGATCATGGTGTTAGTCACCATTAAGATCTCCTGGATGGAGCATCATAAAAAAGCCCATCTGTTAGAACTTGTACTGGTAACGATAAAAATGTAAGTGCTTGATAAAGAAGGAGGCAGAGCTGGAAAACTGAGGAGGAGTAAATGTTCTTGCCTGATGACTCAACTGCTTATGGTCTCAATCCCTGAATCTAGCCTGACTCTGGATGCCACTGTAACACCTAGGAGTGATGGCAGCAAGGGGAGTCTAAAAGCTTAATCCCCTTTGCCTGACAATTCTACATGTGGACCCTGGCAGCAATATACGAAAGCCCAGTGATGATACGGTGATGCCCAAGCAAATGAAGGTTGACATAAAATGTCCAGAAGGCTGCACCATCATTTCCTAAAAAGATTTGCAGGTTTAGCTGTCCTGGTTAGTCCTGAAAGGAACAGCAATTACTTGTACAGCTGGGGCCTCACTTTGAAGAACATCCACAATAAGAAGGAGACCTCTGACTCCGGTCACTTCAGAAAGAGTGAATCAGAGTTATGAGGACTGTAGGGAAGGGGTCCTCTCCTACCTTCCCAATTCAGGGACTGAGTATCAACCAACAAGGGCAGTTCTGGTGGCTGGAAGAAAAGCTCCTATTCTGACGGAATGGAAGCAAGAAAGTTCAGAGCAACAAGCAGTCCTTTGGCACTGCATTTCCTTTCAAATGCCTGTGAGTATCCCTGTCCTCCTTAAATAAGGAATACAATCCTACAAGGAAGAAGACAAGACATGTAAGTCTCTACAGTGCTGTGGGAGCTGGTGGGCTAGACTTGACTCCTGGAAACAACTATGGTAACAGAGATCACAGGTTTTAGTGTTTAACCTTGGTCTCAGCTGTGACCATGTCCTCAGAGCAGCAGATGCTAACACAGGATGCCAGGGGCTGTGTAAACACATGGTAGTTGCTAATCAAAAAGTCCTCAGAAATAAAGAACAACTGGAAGCCCAGTCTCCTGTTGGAATAGTTCATATCTGCAGAGGTTGATACCAGGAATCCTGGACAGCCCTGTCACATGCTGTTAGAAAAGGACAATGAAAGCTTCAAGAGACACAGCATGAGGAGCGGACACCAACCTGCTTCATAAACACATTCCTAAACCTTTTTCTCTGCCTGTTTTCTGGTGTAGCACAACTCAGCAGAGCTGCAAGGGTTATCAGGCAGCCATAAAAGACATCTGACACAGAGGGCAGTGAACAGAAATTAATGGTTGCAAGTTCATATTCTTACTGTTTTCCTGAAGATTAAGTTAAAGGATGAGAATGACCAACAAAAAGTACAGTTCACAAAGACCAAACGAAGCAGAGGAGCATTAATACTACACTTAAATAAAACAAAACAGAGGACAAAGCACAGTTAGGATAAAGCTCAAAAGTACCCTTTAGTCCTATGTGGTTAAAAAGAACTGTATCATGATCTGCTCTGTCCTGTACTAAATATCAAAGGGGATGGGGCATAAATCCCTACAGCACCAAGGGAAGAAAGGAAATGAATGTGATTTATCAGTTATCAGGCACATCTATGAACAAAATGATGTATCACCAACAACTGATTCTAGCATGTCTACCACTGAAAAGCATTACAGATTTAGACATAAAATTATTCTTACAAGTAGGGAGTGCTCCTTAGTAAATCAAGGGCTTTCATTATAAAAAGATGAAAGGAAATAATCAACACCTAAACATGACCTTAATTTCTGGCTGGTCCAGTAGCAGCTGTTTACAACTGTTTACACATGAAAATAAGACTACACACAGGCTCACAGCCAGCATGAAGAAACGAATGGATGCTCAGGGTAGCAGGATCACAGACTCATAGAATCACAGATTGGTTTGGGTTGGAAAGAACCTTAAGATCATCTAGTTCCAACCCCCTGCCAAGGGCAGGGACATCTCACACTAGAGGATCACAGCGAGAAGCATTCTGCTGGCATAGCACATGGGCTCAAGTCACAGAGTAATGCTCCTAGAACATTAACTATGGTTCTTCAAAGCTAGAAGTACCAGGGCAGGTCCCTCCATGCTACACCAATCTGTAACACAGATCTTAAAAAGCCCAGCAACACTAATATGTATGACCCAAATGTTTATCCTTCCCAAAACCCCCTTGTGCATCTCATCTAATTTTCTCTCTCTCTCTCTGAAGCTAGTAACTATGGATGAGACAAGTATAAAAACCTTAATTCCTATTAAGGGATGCTTATTTAAATACATACAAGATGTGAACTTAAAACAAAAAAGCCACTCATGATCAATCCCTTCCTTGCATAATTTTATCATTTTGGAATACTTATGCTGTATTCAGGAATCAGGTTATTCACTGACTACACATTGAGACAATCTGCAATAAAACTAACACTTGTGTTACATTTATAACATTAATAGACACATTTCACATAAAAAACTCTTGACATTCCTTTGAATTAAGCATTGCATTGAAATACAAAGCAAGATTTCTTGTGATTTCAGTGTTTTCATTGATGGGGCAGACATGCACAGTTATCAACAATTTATTCTTCCTGAGCTGCATTTGGGAAACACAGAAGGGAAGTTACAGAGAGAAAACTACAGGCTCACCTGTATATGATGTTGAGCATGCTGTGCTCACAGTCATTGGTGCTATAAACACTCAGTTTGTCCAACAGGTCCAGCAGATGAGTTGAGAAATTGCTATCAAACTTGTTGATTGTTGCTTCAAAGCCAGATGTCAAGTGGAGGTTGTCAGCATGCTCTGCTAAAAGCTATCAAGACAAAGGCATAGTGGCCCCATGTGTTTGCTGATTTGCACTTGCCAGAGATGCAATTATTCCTTCCTTATTTCCTAACCTGCTCAAAAATACTGCCATAAAGCTTAACAGTTGCTCAGCCACTAAAATAAATCCTTCAAAACAGTTGCAAAGTTCTTGGTAGTTAAAAACGTTGCTATGCCTACCTGGGAGAACCCCAGAGTAGATCCCAGTAGACTTATCCTCAAATATATGCTGTCATTATTTATCTTCAAGAAGAAGGAAAAACCGGTAAGCAGAAAGGGAGTGTTGCCTAGGACAGGCTGTAACCTCTGGAGCACCCTGACTGCCTTGCAGTGTGATGGCTGCTACCAGCTGTGTGCCAGGAGAGGGGCTTTCAGCAGGCCAGGAGGCAGCCTGCTGAGAGCAGAACAGGCCAAATTGCTTAGTACATGTGCATCTACATAAAGAAATACGAACAAGACAAATACCCCAGAGATGTGAAAGGGGTGAGCTGTAAAGGGTCACATCCAACAGTTTATTGGCTCATCCATCATGAAGTCTTAGTTCTGGAAATAAGAAAGTTCTCAAGCTGCAGAAAGCCTGAATGTGGGTACCCACTGCACAGTTGAAAATACAACTAAGGACTTAAAAGTAAGTGCAAGGACTGCTGGGGGGGAAAGGGTCTTCAAAACAGACTTTGGGAACACCAGCAGTGCTCCACACTACCCCCAAAAACACTCACAATTCTGTAGATTCTGGTTTTGGGGCTACAGGTGCTCTAGAAACTAGGAAGGTCTATCTGCAAGAGGTAAGACAGCACCAGTCTGCAACCCAGGCAGCATTCACAGAGGAAAGGGCCCAGCTGTCCATCTATGTCTCACCTTGTTAGTCAGCTTCTTCTTTGCAGTCTCTTCAGCACGCTCCTCCTCTGTTGGTGGGCCCAGCATTGTGCCGTGCTCCAGGGTGAGCCGGTCCATCTCACTATCCAGCTTCATGCTCTGGGTGAACCTCTTGGAAGAGTAGAGGGTTGTGGAAATGGTTAGCTCCCTTTTTGCAATTACAGCAAAGCATGAGGCTGACTCAGTTCTGCTGGCCCTGCAGCCAGTTACCTTGCATGAAAGCTAACTCTGAGATCAAGTTTATGATGTTAATACACAAAGCTCCCAGAACCCAAAGGAAGGTGTTGTTTGGTGTCTCTTTTAAAGCTATAGGCTAGAGTGTGCCCACAGAGATCAGCCTCCATGGGTCCAAGCACCAGTCCTTGCCTGACCCTCAGGAAAGCATGCTAAAAAAACTAGAGAGCCCTACAACTTACACCTCATAGTCTACTGCAGGACTGGCTGAAGAGAAGTATTTCGGTTCAGATGAACCTGATCCCAACACTTGAAATAGAAGAGCATAGAGAATTCTGTGGAGGAAGAAGCCACAGAAACCATTTGGGAGAAAGGCTGCACAGTCTAAAGCCTGCTGGTGGGAGTAACAGAGGCTCTTTCATGTGCATCAGGGACAAAAGGGGTTGAGTTATAAAAATGGACTGTCCTAGCTGGCTGTCAGTGGCATGGTCACCATGGGGAGGCTGTACATACCTGCATGCAGTTTGTGAACATGACACAAACAGACATCAGCTTAGAGAATATCTTCAGCAGCTCTGGGTTGGTTAGCATGCAGTCCTTCAAGCAGTTATCCAAGAAGCTTGTGTGGTGGCTCAGGACATCATCAATATTAGATGCCTGTGAGGGTATAGTGCAATAATGAAAAAACAAACCACAACTGCTGTGCTGCACTGGACCAAAGCTCTAACCCAGCATCCTGCCTCTGACAGTAGCCTCTCAGACATAGAATCATAGAATAGTTAGGGTTGGAAAGGACCTTAAGATCATCTAGTTCCAACCCCCCTCCCATGGGCAGGGATACCTCGCACTAAAACATGTTGCCCAAGGCTCTGTCCAGCCTGGCCTTGAACACTGCAACGGATGGAGCATTCACAGCTTCCTTGGGCAACCCATTCCAGTGCCTCACCACCCTCGCAGTAAAGAGCTTCCTCGTATCTAATCTAAACTTCCCCTGTTTACGTTTGAAGCCATTACCCCTTGTTCTACCACTAGAGTCCCTAATGAAGAGTCCCTCCCCAGCATCCTTGTAGGCCCCCTTCAGATACTGCAAGGCTGCTATGAGGTCTCCATGCAGCCTTCTCTTCTCCAGGCTGAACAATGCTCTAGGATGTACTGAGAGATTTCTGCCATATCTTCCAGCTTTGAGAAACATCCAGAGATGGACACTTATTTGCATTACTGCATTCAACTGCCCTTCACAGGCTATTTACCCTTTGATTTGTCACATTACCTTCTCAACCAAACTATGTTTTCTTTAATCACCCAAACCCTCCACTAGCAAGGAGGCTCAGAATGGAGCTATCTGCTTTATGAACATTCATTTCCTTTGCTTTTCAATCTGCTTGTCATGCTCACTCCTACCTTCACCATCTCAGTAGTCAGCTGCAGTAAGTGGAAAAGAGAAAAACAAATCAAAGAACCTCAAATGTCAGTAAGTTTAGGAGGCTTACAACATATAGGTTATTCAGAAACATATTTTAGGAGCACAATAAGGAACTGGGACATGAAGTGTTGCAAGGATTCTCTAAGATTTCTGTCTAGCTCTGCTACTTCAAGGGGCTGTTTCAGTCTCAAGTTTTAAATGATAGATTAAAAATCCCCTGTCACTCTGTACAGTTACAGGATGTGCTGAAGCTGAGAACACAAGTCAAGCTTTGGAAAGAACTATAAGACTAAAATTGCCAAGGCATTCACACTGCTACATAAGGATCAATGCCAAAAAAAAAAACCCATAACCTTTTAAACAACTAGTACAGAAGAGGGATAAATGCTGCTCTCTAATGCAAAGAAAATGCTAGTTGTGTTGATGAAAACAATGATGTTTTGAAGATGAAGATACTAGTTATAGTCTTAGAAAGAAAGCACCTTAACTTCAAGTGGAAATGCACAAGAAAATTCTGGCAAATGAAAAACCAGCATAAGACACTACATGAGACCAGTGAGGATCATCCTTTTCCTTCCTAAAATACAAATGAAAGGAAAAGAATACCCCAGTCTGCAGGCTATGGAAGTTAAAGAGCCAGTTTTGCATCCTCTGTTTGGAAATAAATTATACTTTTATTTAAATCAAGTAAGATTTTACCCAGAAGCTGGGATGTGTCATGGTGAGCAGCTCTTTTAAAGGGCTGCCTAACAAAGTGGTTGCTCAAACAGCTTCTTTAGCTGGCAGTGTTGAGATTTTCGACTCACAGGTGCCTGTGGCACCATCTGACCCACAGGCATCAGACTTCTCCTGCCCCAGCACTGGTAGGGGGCATGCTCCATCTCCCAGAGATTTAAAAGCCTTGAAGGACACTGATGAGGGTGGGACACAAACAGGTATTTGGACTAAATCTCAAAGACTTTGCTAGACTTCTTCTTGCCATACAGCCATGAAACACCTTTCCCCAGCATCAGCAAAGTCACTTTATACCTGTTATCTCAGCATCTCTGGCAGGCTAAAGAGGCTCATTGATGTTCCATAGCAAGAGAAAAATTCTGCCCACTTGGGCTATCAAAAAGGTTTTGTCTATAGATGTTTCTTGGGAATGAGCTCCTCTGACAAACAGTATAAATTGGCCAATTCCTTTTTAGAACTGAAATAAAAATGCTTCAACACTGCTAATAGCTCTGAAGGAGCAGAGAAACTCAGCGGTTGAGAGACAGAGCAAAGAGGGATCTTCAGACAGAAAGAGCCAGGATGCTGTCTCTTCTGAACAGGGAATGTCATCAATACAGACAGCATGTCTACTGCATTTAAGAGTCCCTTCCAGGACATGTGGAATCAGCAGAGACTGAAAGGACATCAGTATGGATGAACCTGGGACAGGACACCTTGAACAAGTGCCTCAATACAAGTAAAGTAAACTGAGAATTGTATTTTGAAAACCTAAATTAAACACAAAACTAAGAAAATACACTTCTTTTAGATAATCCAGGAGCCTGACATATAAACTCTTCTTGTTCAGAAGTCCTCACCAAGAATAAGCAGATATATTCATAATCCTAGACCTGGATCCAGGAAAAAGGATGACAGGGCATCAAAAAATGTTGATTAGCTGACCCCAGAACAACTCCCATGTACACAGTAGAAACTAAGACAGGGTGACTTGATGTTGCAGATTCACAAGGCTCACCAGAGAGCTGCTGAGGCTTAATGGAGATGGCAGAAGGAGTGTTGAGCTGTTTGATACCTCAGATATATACATTTTTTCCCAGTATAAGAGGAAAAGACGTGCAACCCAGAAGTGTCTGATCACAGGATAACTACAAGAGGGAAGAATAAAAAGGTGATGTACATCTGCTTCCTTTTTCCTCGCAATAGCTGGGGCACCCTAACACCAGTCCCAACACAGCAGCACCACAGTGGGTAAGGAGGCTCAGAAGGACCACGAGGAATGCATTGTCACTTGAGACAACAAAAATCACTACAGCCATCACAAAGGTTATGCTGCAAAATAAGCAAGCTTGAGGGATGGATCACTGATCACCTGCTTTAATTAATTAAACACAAGGTCACTGCCTAGCACAGCCCTCGCCTGTGCTGAGTGGCATGAGCCAAGACATAAAAAACTCAAAGACAGCACTTCCTAGAGACCCTCTCAAGTTGTCTCCTGTCATGGAGGAGATGGCAGCAGATCAGACTCCTTCCCTTGGCAAAGTGCTCCATCCAGACAAGATGTAAAGATGTATTTGCAGCACTGCTGTGGCTTTCAGAAGTTTCGCCAGTCCTCAGACATCATCCTTCATTTGCCTCCTGAACTTCCACAATAACTCTGTATGACCACTGTCAGGTAAAAGAGGAAGGGAGAGAAGGGCTTGCTCTACACAGATGGAATAGTCCTTGATCTGTTGGTAAGAGACTTTTTCCCTGTTGTTGAGGATGGAGACAACAAATCTGATGTGAATGAAACCACATATGAGAAGACCTTTATGGGCTTCTTGACTAGCCTGTTCTGAAAGGCAAACTCCCAATGACTTCTCATTCTTCATTTAAAACAGCCAGGTGGGACATTAGCTGAGAAAGTGTTCATCTTTGAGCTAATAAAGAGCTATCTCACGTGCCCATCAGGAGACAGAAACCAATTCTTGCAATTAGGACAAAGAGCTAACTTATGGAGAAGTCACTCACTTGGATTAGGAAACCAGAAATACTCTGTAACACACCTGGAAAATCCCACAGCTCAGTACATCTCTGTGATAGGAACCAAAACGATGTCAGGCATGCCTTGCCTAGATATCCTCTTTGTCAGGCATAAAACCCAGTGGGAAGTGAGCTCGACCTCTCCCAGGTACCACCAGAGTGGAAAAGTTCTCTCTGCAGTTGAAATACACATGTAGAATAGCCTCCTGAATAAGGAAGGCCCTGTTTTATAACAGATAGTCCTAACATGCCAGTCTGTGGCAGCTTCATGGAAGAGAAAACATAGACTTTGCTTTTAAGAGCACTGTAAGCCAGCCAAGGAATCAACTGAAGACATCTGGACCAGTTTACGATCACTGCACCCTGCATCCTTCTTCCTTTCCCATAGTTTTCTTTCTTTTCAGCAGAACACCACCTTCACATACCAAGCTGCAGAGTATGAACTGGATAGAGATAGGAAGATGCAGGACAGGAAAGGGATATATGACTAATAAATCAGAAAGGTGATGTAGAACAGCAGCAGTCTCTGCAGTGTGATAAGAACAGTTCCCAGTGCCTCCAACAAAACTAACAGACACCTGCACTAGGCATTTTTTCCCTATAGCAAATTTGTTAACTTAAGACTTCTGTTCTGACTTCTCTCAATCACACACACACTCACCAACTTCAGGTTTTTCTCAAGAATGTGCCATGTTGGCTCCATCACTTCAAACATCATGTAATACTGGATATTCTGTACAAAATTCAGCATCCGCTGCCGCAGTGTGAAAGCACCAGCAAACCTAGGGGAGAAATCACACCCACACAACTGAGAGCTAGCAAATGCCATGGAGAACTATCACCAGGCTTGCACAGTCAAGCAGAGCTAAATATTTCTGTCCTGGCAAATTCACTGCTGCAGCGTGAGAGGGACTATAAAGTCAATGCAAACCATCTCTGTTTTCCACATATTCAACTGGCTTTGCCTCAATTACTAGACTCAGAAGTTTTGAACCTGTCATAGGCTGGACAATTATTCTGAATATTTGCTTATATTCAACTAAAATGTTAACATTAAATATTAAAGGAATTACATTAATGTAACTATCGAGCAAGACGTGCTCATTAGCAGGGTAAAATTGAAGAAGATAGATGGTTTCCAGCCTTACTAGTTAAATGAACACTTAGAAATATTCTATGCCTTGCATCCGTATGTTCAGGGGATCCAAATATTTAACCAAATCACTTGTTATTGAAGGTATTTAATGCAATTTCACCTTAAAAATAAAACAGTGGGATCATATAGAGATTCTTTCAATGTTGATTTATGCAGGCTCTGTGATGGGAAACTAAGAACTGACTTCAGCATACGACGACAGAGAGGTGGGGCATACCTACCTACCATAGGGGTTTTCAACCACAGCTGCCCTGTCCCCTGCTGATCTCGGTTGTCCTGTGAGCTGGAGGTTGGACTAGAGACCCTCACAGGTCTCTACCGCTAACACCTCCACAATTCCAGGAGGACCAGAGCTACAGTCCTGTTGGCTAAGGTGAGGCACTATTAACTTGTGACAAGAAAGTGCCACTGGCAAGGCAAAAGGTACCACCTCACAGTGCTGGGGTCTGCCTCACTCTCCAGATGGGTGCCTCCAGCAACCTGGCGTGCAGATCCAAAGATTAAAAACTGCTCGCACAGGTGGAACAAGATAGAATGATTTGCTGGGAAAACACCCCCCCATTTTTACCTTATTCAACCTGTATCACACCAAATATCAATCAAGCTGTGTGAAGGTCACAAGTCCTTGCTATTGGTCTGGCCAGAATAGAAAGATGTTGCTTCTAAACTACTGGGGTGCTTACTAATCTTGCTGATGCTAAAGTAGTGACCAAGATTATATGTGAATAGATGTCCTCTGCTGTAACTGTTCAGTGTATAATGAGCTAACCCTAAAGACCACCTCTTCCTTTTCAAAACTACATGTCAACAAAGAGGAACGAGCTGAGCAGCACAAAGATTATGGAGCAGATACTTCCCACTGAAACCTAAAATGTTATATTTTGACCTTTCTCAGCATGTAAGAAATTTGTAAGGATCATTTTCACACCAAAATGATCTGATCCATGTCACGACATATCTAGCTAGCAAGAAGGAAACCCAAACCTTCACATCTGATCTGGGAGAAAAAAAGGTCATACCACTTAGCTGAATGCAGGGAGAATTGCTTGGCTGTCTTATTGCTGATCCAAACATTGCACAACTGTCTTTCCACATGTTTGCAATAGAACATGTGTCTGAAAAGCATCTGGTATCTTGTCAGAGCTTTCCTGGAAAGAAAGGAGAAACCCATCCAGATTAAGCCCTGTTCTGATTGACAGACTAAGCTGTGAAGGCTAAGGCTGCTCAAAGGCAAAAAGACATTACAAAATATGCTCCCTACACCTTCAGCCACATGGATGCACACTGAAACAATTCAAACCAAAGGAAAAAAATTCACATTTGTTGCCAGCCCAAAGAATTTCTTTCCAAGGAGTCCCTCCTCTGTATTTCCTGCCAGCTGGTACATCACCAGCCTCCTTCTTCAATTCCCTTCAGCTACCTGCAGGAAGGTCACTCACATAAATGCTGGGACAGAGGGCTGAAAGCCTGAGGTCATGTACCCACTGCATTAAGATGGTTACAATCAGCAAAACAATTCACCAGGATTCTGGAAAAGATGAAGAAAAAGCTGTAACCAAGCTACAGGCAGCATTACCCCATCAGCAATGCACTGTCAGAAGCAGATGGGGATGCTTATTTATAGCTTCAGAGACTGGATTCAGGTCTGTGTTCAGACACTTCAGTGTAGGTGTCTACAGAGCTCCAGTCGATACAGTTCATGAAACCTTACCAAACACTATTTTCACTTCCATAGCTACCACCAGAGCTAACACACTCTGGAAGAAAGAGACAAAATTGCAAAAGCATCATGTCATTAGAAAAGTCCCACTGTGTCAACTGCTTCTTCAAAGGGGAAATTAGGAGACAGACTAATTGTTGTTTTTTAACAATTCCACATAGAATCATAGAATAGTTAGGGTTGGAAAGGATCTTAAGATCATCTAGTTCCAACCCCCCTGCCATGAGCAGGGACACCTCACACTAAACTATGTTGCCCAAGGCTCTGTCCAGTCTGGCCTTGAACACCTTCAGGGCTGGAGCATTCACAACTTCCTTGAGCAACCTATTCCAGTGCCTCACCACCCTTACTGTGAAGAACTTCTTCCTTATAGCTAACCTAAACTTCCCCTGTTTAAGTTGACATCTGTCACCCTGCTAATCCCATTGCCCTGGCTCACAGGGTTTGGCAGTGTTTCTCCAGGGAAACAGGAGGCAAATCCCTGCAGAAAAATGAACCATTTAGTCGCTCGTAACTCAATTAAATGCAAAACAGCTTGCTGTAGCAATTCTAGCAACAGCCTTTATCTTTCTAATGTGCAACCAGGGATACCAGAAAGTGCATTTTTACCACTCTCCACTTTGAGAAATGTTTGATTCTTGGATGGAAATCCTCCTGTGAGAGTTCATGTTCTCGGGGAAGATACTTCAGAAAGCAATGGACAAATGAAAACTGGGTGACCAGTCACAAGTAAAATCAAGGAGCAGGCTAAGAAAGCATCCTTTGAGCTCTCTTCCCAGCATCTGAAATCAAAGTTCAACTTTTCAAGCATGCTTTAGTAGGGTTCTACGGAAGACACAATCCATATTCCATAGTCTACAAGTGGAGCAAGCAGGGCTAAACACCACAAAAGCATTCCTTTGCAATTCTTAGCCTTCCACTAGTCAGCAACTTGTAACATCACTTTAAAGATACAGACTTCCCAGTGTTTTGCTGCATGGAAATGTGCTTCACTCCCATGCAAAAGCTTTTGCCTTTTATGCCTTCAGTGGATTAATATCTTACCTGTTTATAATAAGGGACAGAGGCCACTTAACAATGTAGTCAAAGGAAAATGCTTCCAAACCACTGAGAGTGAGCTCTGTGGGATCTGCATTGATAATAGCCTTCTCCTGTTTTGTTTCTATAGCCAATACTCTCAAGAGCTGTGTAATGAGGTCATGGGGCATCAAGTCGATCTATAAAGGAAGAGCAGGGTTAAAAAAATGAAGCCACAGGATACTCACAACTACTGCATAGCAACAGACACGTGGCAGAACTTCAAATTACCCGAGGCACTCTCAAGTCATCAGACCAACCTAGAAAGCAATAGTAAATGGTATGATCTGAAATGGAGCAGCAGACAGACACCAGAGCAGTGTTGCTGTAGTGGTTAACAATTAGCATACAACATGCTGCTCTGCTGATCACTCTCCCTTGCTCTCAGCCTCTTTATTCAGATCTCACGCTCCCCAGGCACAGGCTCTGTGCTGCTTCACATGTGTAAAAGACACAATCATTAATAGGCAGGACTTCTAATCAGGTATTCTCTTGTACTCCAAAGTGAGCACCCAAGTTGAGAACAAGCATGAGAGACACACTACTGCTTCCACTTCATCCTGAGGCCACCCAAAAGCACCTTCTCCATGTTCAAGAAACCAGCAAGAAAACACAGCCAGGGTAGGTGCTTCCTGTTGCCAATCTGGATGAAATAGGACTTAACCCAGCAAAGGTCTACAAAAGGATAGCCATCAATTCTCTTTTCCTTCACTGTACATTCAGCAGGTTCTTAGAGGCACGCTGGTCTTCCCAAATCATGGCAAGCCTTCTTCTCAAATTGAATTAACTTCTGCGCACATACACTCTTACCTTTAAATCATCCTTGAAAGGATCTGTGTTGGCTGTGCTCATTCGCAGGGCTAATTCAAGCAGAGCCTCTAACCTCGTGGTTATGATGTCATCTACAGGCTTTTTAAGTTCCTCTTCCGTGAGATCCATGAAGTGAACAAAAAAGTCCCCTTGATCCATCAGGAAATAGTGTTTTATAGATCTGCTCAAGAAATGAAAGGACAATTGATTATGTTTTTAAAAGGCCAAGTTAATCCATATTAAACCTAAATGAACAAAAGCAATCAATTCAGCCAGCCTGCTGGGTTTGATCACAAAATGTTCCTCTTCATGGAGAACACACTGCCACAAATAACCAATTTGGAGACTAGTCTTATGCATGCGTTCTCCTCCCTACCACCTCAGTCAGGATACATGCAGATCCATCCAAGAGGCAGCTGCCAATTCAGAGAGGAATCCTGAACTCTGAATGAACAAGTAACTGTGCTCATTTTTTATGTACTCCAGGTACTTGTGTTGACTTCTGCTACAGTAGGATGCATAAACTTTAATTTTCACTTGGCACCAGGGAATTAACTGCAGTGGGCCAGGAGCTTGGAGATAACTCTGAAGAGTAACTGGTAACTGCAGCTTTCAAAGCCAAACTAGGACCAGCACATCCTTAACACAGGATGGTTGCAGACTCCTGATTACCGTCAATTTGGGATGATGCTCAGCCCCTCTGTTTCCCTGACTATATTACTCTTTTGAACGGAGGAAACGCCCCCAGTTATGAGGAAATCATGACAGTGTCAGTGGTTAACTGAGGACACAAGAAGTAGGGGAGCAAGATATTTACCACTGACAAACCCTAGAGTGTAAACCCAAATAAAAACCTGAACTAATGCTGGTGACAATCCCACTTCAAGCAGGAGGTTGAACTACAGATCTGCTGAGGTTGTTGGTCCCTTCTAACCAATGTTTCTGGGACAGTGGAGAGAGAGTTAGTATTGCTGCTTAACTGAGGAGAAATGGTAAATGTCACAGTTCCCTGGGGTTTAATCACAAACATCCCACTTCACCCCTCAAAGTTCACCCATACACTGGAAGCTCAGTAGCTTCCTCCTCAACCAGCTGCCCCTGCACTTGTACTCTAGCAGATCATTTATACACAGGACAGCTGCTGAATGATCTAGCAAAAACCCTGTTTCAAAGATGAGGAGGTCATAGACATCGACCACAGCTGAACAGGCTGAGCAACACCTTAATCTGAAACTACACTGCGACAGATGAGCCCAACAGAGTACATGTGCCACCGGAACTTCAGAATCCAGTGTCTCTTGAACATTCCTATTAAGCAAAGAAGGCTTGGAGAGATGACAGTCATTAGCAAGGCTAGGAAGAATCTCTTTAACAACTGGCAGGTTTCAGACAGCTCTCAACCTTTCATAAAACCAGGAATTCCTGGTTTTACTGTTTTCTGTAGATGGTAACAAACTCAAAGCTTGATTCACACAAGGAAGCTAGAGCTTGCATGCAGAATGCACCTGCATTTGCTATTGGCAGGATGTGTTACGAGAGTCAAAATACAAGTTATTAAAATGAACTTTAAAAAAGGACAGTATTCAGAAAAACCCTGTACTGGAACTTAGGGCTAATACACTTGCTCTATCACAGATACTTATGTTTGAATGAACAATAACCAGGGCACTTATTTGGCAAGATGCTTAATATTTGACTATTTCTTATTCACATTAAACTCTTCTTGATCATACCAGGCGATATAGGAAACTCCTTTCCTGGGTGGGAGTGACAAGCATAGCACAAGTCATGAGAGAGGTAGGGGACATCAATACCTGAGGGTGGGTTTTGGGACTGGGCTAGGCAAAGCCACAACTGCCCTGACCTAGTTTCAGCAACAGCCTTGCAAGGAACTAGGACTAGAGATGCCCAGATACCCTTCCCACCCAACATTTCTACAATTTTACACTTCTCTTTCTTTTTTAATTCAGGAAAAAACCCAAATCTTACTTTTTCAGGTCATCCCTGCTAATGGAAGTAGAGACAACACATTAATAATAACCCAAGAAAAGCAGGCCAACTTCAAAAAACTTATGTTCACTCTCAGAACCAATGTATTTAACATGCATTTAGTAAAACAAATCAAACCTTAGATGAGCCACCAGCTCTTTCTCCTCCATTAGGAAATCCAGAAGAACTTTGCTAGCATAGTTATATGCTTTTTCTATTTGTTCCACATATGCTCGCTCTTTTAAAGTATAGATGACCTCTTTAGCCACAGGGCAGGTAACATCACGGCCACATTCTCGCACAACATTTAAGTATTTCCCTAGAAGCAAAAAGAAAGAATGACCTATATTCATACCTACTGTACATCCAACAGGGAAACTTTCAAACCACTATCTTCAAGAGGAAGATATGCTGCGAGATGTTCGCACTAAATTCTACCAAAAGCTGTATAGGATTTAGACACCTTTCAAAAGATAATACAGAATTTTAGATTAGACACCTAGCATCAGATTTAAGGAGAGATTTATAAATGGTGTTGTTTTCCAATGGGGGAAAAACACCTCCGCAGATAGCCAGAAACTTTCAAGATCTGGTGCTGCACTTCAGAAGTAGCTTTTGGAGGGGTTTGTACTTAGAAAAGAGAGCAATGGTAGCCATCAGGTTGCAACCTTCATTTAAAGACCCAAATTAAAACTCAGCATATTCAAACCTCAGTTGTCTAGCTCCATCTAGCTAGCTGCTGGAAAATTGTACCCATGAAACAGAGCAGTAAGAACGCTCCTATTGCTGCTGGACTCCTTCCCACATGTTTTATTCATAGGAATTGGGATTCTTTTACAGTCTGGTTCTTCTATTCCTCTGAAAAGTTTGGATGGACAACCCCATAAACTGACAAAACACGATGACATTTATCTGTACACAAAAAATAGTAATGCTTGTTTCAGGATTCCTCTGGCATCAGAAGCATATCTTTACTTACCTGTGCTTAGTATTTTGTCAGCCATTTTCTGCAAGAATGAGGGAATTTGCTGCTGAACAACAGTGTATCTTTGATCCCAATACTTGTCATTATAGTCCTCCTGAATCTTCTCCTTCTGCAGCTCATGTTCCTCCACCATGAACTCACTGAACAGTTAAAGCAGATGTTTAGAAGCAGGGAGTGGTACAATAAGGATTACTTTCTTTGACCTGTAAACTGCTAATACGATCTATCAGAAATAAGGTCTCAGGAGAATACATTCCAATCAAGAACTGAAATTAGTTTGTGTTTGTACTAAGAGGAGATGCTTTATGCAGAGCGTTCCTGCTAATCTGCAATCAATGATGACAGAAACAGAATCTTACAGAGTTTACAAACCAAGTCTAAACATGATTTGGTCCTCAGTGTAGAGGTGACAAAGCAAGCCTTTTCCTGTCTTCTTACCATCAGGAAGGCATTAATTTTAGCTATTCTGAGTTTTGCCCTCCCTTAGGATTCTGAAAATGTGGGAAACAGAAATGCTGCATAATCTATTAAACAAAGCAAAATGCTTCAAATGACTCTATAAAAGCCAAGAAACTTCAGGCAGTGTTGTTAGCTCCTATCAGATTAGCACATTAGTAGACTACATTTAATATAGATTCACTGAATTACCACACTCGTGCCCCATGAGAAGAGTGCTCACCCTTCTCATGAAAAAGATGAGGATGTGAGAGGAGAATAGTTAAAGGGGGACAGGCATGATAAGGTGGAATTAGAGTGTATTGCATATTTGAACTTCTGTGCTATTGACTTTTGCATATAATTTCCTTGAATTTGGAAAAATAAAGCAAGTAAGAGTGTCTCTGACTGTATACACACTGAATCAAACAAGAAATGTAGTTAAACATGCTTCAGCAGCTCCCCTTCCTTGCAATGCTGCCTTGTCTGCTCACTGCTGCCACGTCCAGGCCCCTAGCTTATGCAGACTTTACAGAGCAGAGGGATGGGCGAGCTAAGAAAGTAAAAGCCAAAGACCTGAGCAGTATTTCTTAACTTTTGTATTTCATTTTCATTCCTTAATTGTTCTTTACCTGTAGGGATCATTAATGATGCCCCGATATATCCACTTTTCCAGAATTTCAAAATAAGGTACACTGGCTGCCTTGGTTAAATACAGGCACAGCTCCTGGGCCTGGCTGTCCCCCGTGTAATTAAATGTCTTGTCGTGGAGTAAGCTCAGGGTGGATCCTCCCATACACTCTCCTTTATCCACAGAGGTAGCTAAAATTGAAAAATATGCATATAAGATACAAAGCTGAAACAGATTAATTGCACCACCTATGGTCTTAAATGAAATGTAATCACTTGATTAGCTGACCACTCTAAGTCACAGATCTCCATGTCAGCTCTAGAACCCCACTGTGAAGATGTAAGGCCATTCCACCACATGGCCAAAAGCTTACATCCTGAAATGTCCTGAAACAAAAAGCTACAAATGATCCACAATCTAAAAAAACAATAACCAAACCCAACCCTTCAGGGAAGAACTGAACTCAGCTAGACATAAGGTACATGGTGGCTTAAAGCCTCCTATGCCGAGGGGACAATGTAGAGATCCACCTTCCAGGTGGTAATGGAAGAAATACACACTTCAGTGACTTGCTCTGATCTCAAAAGCACTTTGCTCTCAACTGGTACACTGCATATACCTCGAACATCAGGATTTAGGTAGGGTAATTCCAGTTGGAAATAGAGAAAGAAATGTTCACAAAAAGGTGGTGAAGTCATGGGAAAGGGCCTGGAATGGGGGATCTCCACTGCTGGGGACTGTCCAGACTCGCCTGGACAAGGCCCTGAGGAACATGCTGTAGCTGTAAGGGGTTGGACTAGAAACTTCCAGGGGTTTCTTCTGGTTGAATCCATTTGTGGTTACACATCCACACACAGCTGGAGAGGCATTTTGGAAAGAAAGTGAGTAGAGGCAGCAGTGGTGGAAACAAATGATCCGAAAGGCATGGACTATGAAGGTAAGAAGCATGGACATGCCCTAAAGCCCACCGCTCTCAAGTAAGAGCCATGCTTTGACAAGTACAATTCCCCTTGACTTTCTTCTTTAATATAACATAAAATTAAAATGACACATGCCCTGCCTGTACTGCTGCTCTGTAGCTACAGTTTTAAGAGACTGTCATGCACCCATCAAAATGTAATGACTGTATTTCTGAAATTTACCAAGTGAAGCAAGAATCTCTAGGGTCCTCATTGTAGGCTGGATATAAAACCAGAGTTTCTGCAGTGACAGAAGTCCCTGTCTCTGAAGATGTTCCAGCTGGGTAATTAATATCATGTATTCCTTGATGAGAGTCCGCATAGCAGCAGCCAGAGCATGATTTACCTGTCCGTACTCAAAGGAAGATTTCTCCTCTATAAACCTGCAAGAAGCAAAATGGAAACTTTTAGGCAAAGCACCTTCTACCACGTTCAGGATTTTTCTCTTCAGGACACTGTACAAACACACAAGTAGATTGTGTGTTGGAAAGTGCACCAGTCTTCAGCTGGAGTTTCAGGTTCCACATCTGCTCTGTGTCCCCCTTCCCTACTTCCCATCACCACACTTCCTAGTACAGAAAGCCATGGCAAGACATTTCCTCTCAACCTGCAGGGAAACTAGAATTCTTTGGAAAAGCACTGCGTAGAAAGTGAGAGCCAGGGTTTTCAAGGAGATTATCTTTGCACAAGCAGCAGATTAGAAGACAGGAAAAGATCTCAAAAGGAAGCTATGTGCACCCAGACATGTGGGGAAAGCACTGCTGCTAGCTTCTGACACCACATGCCACTGCAGGGATTCATTTGACCAGATTTAGATGGCTCTAACACAAGTATCTGTCTCTCCACACGTTAGTGGAGAGACAGATACTTCTGAACACAAGTCATCTGGAAGGAGATATGTAAAAGAGACTGGATGAATCACATTCTAAAAATGCTTCTCTTTGCTGATCTTTTAGGGACTTTGAATCAAATGCAGACATCTACATAACAACCATCTCCTACTGATGAGGTGTACCTTATCCTAAGACCTTTTAACTATTAAGGTAGCTACAAGAAGCTTGGCAGCAGTAAGTTCTCTTACTCACAACCACGCAAAGGTGGTCTCTGTCCTGGACATCCAGAGGAGAGCAAAAAGCAGGAAACAAGGAGGAATTCATAGCAGAATGGGAAGGGATGAGCCAGAATAAGCAGACATATCCTGTTTGCCTGAATTTACCAAGATCAAGTTTAGACAAAGCAAAGGTGAGGTGAATGAAAGAGTGAACTGGCAGCAGAGAGGAGAAACCCAGCAAAAAGAAATGTAGCTAAAACCAATTCAAAGCAATTGTCATTCTTACTTTATATCCCCGTAGGTTTAAATTAAGCTTGGAAGTTAACATCTACACAATGACAGTTTCTCTGTTCTATAACCTGATGCTCAAAGGAGAATATCCTCCTTTGACAAAAGTCAGCTAGGTACCTGGTGACAGCAGAATAACTTGCTGCTACAGGAAGAATCCTGGTCACCAGCTCTTTGATGGACAAGTCCAAGTTTGGATCGACTGAAAATGCTCGGTTCTGCCTGCCTATGAGAGGCTGTGCTGTGATGTATCTTCCATCCACACCAATCAGAACGTACAGCAAGTCCTCCACGATCATGGATTCTTGGGAGGCTAACGGCAAAGTACCTGTTTTCAAATACAAGACAAAAAAAAGAACACAGTCAGAACATGCCATAACACTACCTGATTGACCATTCATATCATTTTGGTCTAGCACCTGAAACTTGAAAGGAAGACATACTACCATTCAAACAGAACAAAGGAAGATCACGCAAAGCTGAATCAAGACAGAGAGAAATAAGACTGAGTGAGGCTCAACTCCAAAATCATCCATCTTTCTTTCCAGGAAAACAGAATCCTTTGCTCATTTTCACCCAAAGCAAATCAAACAGATAGGGCTATACATCCGACATCTGTGGCCTAGAGAACATCACCCTCAGCTTGTGCTGCTGATCCTTCCACCCAAAAGGGCTCAGCTATACTGGACCTGAGGAACTCTGATCTTGTTAACTCCCCCTACCACCACTCCACCGAAATATTCAAATATCAAGAAAACAGTTCAAATACAGACGCAAAGAAAAAAAGCTCCAAAAGCTTCAGGCAAACTGTGAACTGAATGGTTTGAACTGCATAGTTCTCTGAATAGTCTGGTCAACCATGCCAGAAGCATAAAGGACTCAACCCAAAATATAATCAAGTGAATAAGAAACTATACACAGCTCAGCCTAAAGCTAGAATACAACAGGGAGAGATTAGTCTCCTACTGCTCTGGTGAGGAGAGAGCAAATTGGGGAAGTTGTTAAAGTCTTACTGGAGAGGATATTGACCTGGGTGAATTGATGAATGCTCCCTTGTCAGATATGACTACAGATTTTTCAGCTGAAAATGCAGATGTGATACTCCTACAGCAAGATTCTATGAAGGCTCATAAAGGCTCATAAACTCAAGAGAGAAAAAGGACTGTAAAACTCCAAACAGATTAGATCCCATGTATCAACAGTGGGGCTGGAATTCAGCACAGGAGAAACACTATGAACAAATTAAGTTTGGGGTTTGTTTGAGCCCTGCTCTTCATCTGCAGAGTGCAAGGAGAAAAATTTTGCTTTCATCCTGAGTGTGACAAAGTCTGAATAACACTTCTGAACAAGTACAAAACATGAAAAGTTAATGCCATTTTTCCTGTGTATGACATACCTATAGGTACTGTTGTGTCAGTGCTTAAACTGGTGCCAATTAAGAAGTCACCAATAAGTGCAGGTCTCTCATACACCCAGGATGGAAATACTGGAATGGGCTGACCAGAATTCTTCTTGTTCTGCTTATCTCGGAGGATTTTTCGTGTAAGCTCAAGAGGCTGTTGGAAAAAGAGAGAGGGAGGAAGAAAGAAGGGAAAGGAAAAAAAAAAAAACCCAACAAAAAATTCTTCAGAAGTCAATAAAATCTTTAATTTCAAGCAGACACTGATTGTAAGCTGGTAACTTGAGAACAGAAGGTAGAATAGCTGATGCTTCACTAGCATGCTGTAGGATTTGGTCTCCCAGTACCATCCAGTGTATTGTAGTCTGTGATTTTTTCATACAGTTGGCCTTCTTTTTGTTGGAGGATACATCCAATAATGCCTTTCAGCACCCCTTCCCAACAGCCTGGGTGCTAGGGCACACTCATACAGGAACAGAGTGGGAATATGCCCAACCACCAGGCATCTTACTAGTTTACAAAGTGAACCACATAAAAGGCAGCAAACCCCTTCCAGAAGCAGTAAGCAGTAACACCTGATTCAAGGACCACTTGCAGATAGGCTAATGAACACCTCCAAACTCAATTTCTGCACAGTGCCTATTGAATAGCTACATGCCAAATGCAATCGAAATAATCCACCCACAGATACTCAGAGAATCATGGAGTTTTTCCTCTGAATAGGAGTCTGTGAAGGAAGCGAGCTCTTGAAGACTGAAAGACATTCAATCCATGGAATAAATGGAGTGCAAGATTCATTATCAGCTGGAGAGGCTCGTGAGACGTACAGCCTCCATGAACATTTAGAGCCCCCAGCATATACAGGGGACATGCTTATGAATGGCCATTTCTTAAACTCACATCTATGTGAAATGGGATATGCACAGCACCATTTTACTTCACTATCACAGGTCTCA